TGAGATAAACTAGTGGTCCTAAACACCACACTCATGAGTGTGGGTAATTCACTGCTGTGTAATCCTCACTGATGGATGGTTCATATTTATCTCTGTGGCATTTAATCTCATATTAAATTTACTTATTCTTTTAACTCTGATTTGCCTGACATGAAAGAGCCCGTGACACTACTTTCAGAAAGCAAGCTTCTTTATATAAAAACTAATCTCTTAACATTGGAGTGTATGATGTCATCAGTCTCTATATGAAAACCAAGCTTTGGACAGGGTTCCACCCTGTTGTGAATGGTTACAAGTACAAATTAACAAAAACGTTTTGAGAGTGAATATATGAAATTTCCAATTTTCCCAATGACAACAACAAAAGTATTTCTACTGTATATTGCTCAACTAAATTATTTCACTAAGTGCTCCAAGCTCAAAAGATTTATACTTATTCCTGAAATGTTCCTTGATTTCATATTTTTTCCATTTTACTATATTTCTATTTTCACTTCATGTAAATGAAGGAGTATGCCAAAGGTTGCATTTTGGTACAAATAAGGACATAAATATAATCCTATGATGTATATTCATGAATGGTGGTCAGGTTTTAAAGATCAGGCTGAAATTGCACCACTATATTTTTATTATAGCCTCATAAATGTCATGGGCCACAGTGTGGAGAGAATGACTCCAGTGCAATTTATTAATACATGACCCCTAAATTGTATGTTCCTTGATCCCACGATAGAAAAAAATTGTTATCAATTCCTTCAAACTTCAGAGCCTAATGGTGCACTGCTGGTTTGTTACGAAGTACCCTATGGAGGTGGGATAAAACCGTGTTGGTACAAGTAACATAATTCATTCAAGGTTATGAAAAACGATTAACTGTATTCATTAAAACATGAGCCCGGGGGCCGGCCAAGTGGCGCGATGGTTAAGAACTGGCTTGGGATGACAGAGGGCCCCGGTTCGGATCCCACATGTGAGGGCCAGTGACACTGCCCTCCACAGCTAAGATGCTGAACAACAGCTCAACCTGGAGCTGGGCTGCTGTGAGTCGCCGGCGACGGCGTGGGCTGCAGCCCCTGTGGCAGTGGGTTGCCATGGGCTGCCGTGTGTAGCCGGCAGCCAGCGTGAGCGGCCAGCAGCCGCAGTGAGCGGCCGTCCAGAAGCCAGCGACTGATCTGCCTCGCCCGGGAGGAGCGCAATGATGGTGCCAACTTGGGCCAGTGAAGCAACGTCCTCCACAACTAGACTGAAGAACAAAACGACAGCAGCTTGTCTGTTCCCCTTCCCCCAATTCCCCAGCGCTGTTCCCATCCCCCAATTCCCCAATAAAAATCTTTTAAAAAAAAAGAGTAAGCTTAAGAGCACGAGCTCTGAGGAACAGGATCACCCGTTCGATTCCCACATGGGCCAGTGACACTGCACCTGAGCTGAGCTGCTGCTGAGCTGCCAACAGGTGGCAGAATGACTCAGCTGGTGAGAGCACATGCTTCTAACAACAAGCCTGCCTGTTCCATAGTGGGTTATGCCAGCTCGCAACTAACACTGAACTTGGCTCCTTGAGCTGAGCTGCCACCCAGACAGCTCAGTGGATAGAGTGTGTGCTCTTAACAAGGCTGCCGGGTTAAACGCCCGCATGGGATGGTGGCTATGCCCACTTGCAACTAAGACTGAACTTGGCAGCTTGAGCTGAGCTGCCACCCAGATTGCTCAGTGGATGGAGTGTGCACTCTTAACAACAAGGCTGCTGGTTCAACTCCCACATGGGATGGTGGGTACGCCCATCCGCAACTAAGATTGAACACAGAACCTTGAGCTTAAAGGCCATGAGCTGCTGATGGGCAGACAGATGGTGACGGGCACCCTCCACAACTAAGATTAAAGAACAACAACTCGGCTGGTCCCCTGACCCATTCACCAATACTGTTCCTCTCCCCCAATTCTCCAATTAAAAACAAATAGTTTCACAGATACAGAGAACTAACTGATGGTTGCTAGAGAAGACAGGGCCATGGGGAAAGGCAAAAAAGGTGAAGGGGAATCAGAAGTATAAATGTCTAGTTATGAAAAGTCTAAAGTATGGGATGTAATGTAGCATAGGGAATATATTCAATGATATCTTGATTCCCTTGTGAGGTGACAGATGTTACTTGAGTTGTATAGTGATCACTTTGTAAGATATGTAAATAAAGAATCACCATGTTGTAAAACTGAAACAAATATAATATTGTATGTCACCTGTACTGTAAAAATTGAAATAAATACATACATAAAACAGTTGATCCCATTTTGGACCACAATAAAAATTTTGCTAACTCTTTCGACTGTTTCACTTTTCCCAACAATTTTGTATTACCATTATAATGCAAAAACCACCACGGTGCTATACAATGAGAAATGAATTAAAAGATTCCATTAGAGTTGACCTATAATATCAGAATATTTAAGGCAACCTTGTCTCCATCAACATGAGACTCATTATATATTTATTCCAGGAATGAACACATAACTAGAATTTGAATTTAAATGTTATTATATGTAAACTTAATTTCATACAGTTCACCTTTTTTACAGGACAAATTCTTCACCAAGTTTCTTTTTTCAAATCGTAGTATTAATATTAACTTTTGAACTCCCATGTTTCAAATCAAATATTAGCGAGCAAAAACAACAAACGAGTCATCGTCAAGAGTACAAACGAGAAGTCCAAGTCTGGGGAGGAGAAAAACCGCAAAAGAAATACCTGTAAAGGTCTACTATGCAAAACACACAAAGACGTCTTCAAACTCATCGATGAGAAAACTACCAACCTCATTAAAACATGGGCCAAAGCCCTAAACAGACACCTCACTTGACAAGAGATACGGAAGACAAAATGATATGTAAGAAGATGCTCCACATCATATGTCACCAGGGAAATGCACATGAAAACAACGATGAGAATTAAACACACAGCAAGTTAAACAACATGACACACCTATTAGGAGAGGCCAGAACCCAGAACACGGACAACATCAAGTGCTGGTGAGGACGTGGAGCAGCAGGAACTCACACTCACTCGGTGGGAACACAAAATGCTGCAGCCTCTTGGGTTCACAGTTTGGTGGTTCTTACACATCCTCTCACCATAAGATCAAGCACTTGTGCTTCTCCATAGTTTACCCAAAAAGTTGAAAACGTTTATCCACCCAATAGTCCACACATGTGTGTTCACAGCAGCTTTATGTATAATTTCCAAAACTAGAAAGCAACCAAGATGTCTGTCAACAGGTGAATGGAGGAGTAAACTGTGGTGCACACAGAAAATGGAATATTATTCAGTGCTATATAGAGAGAAGTTATCAAGCCACAATAAGATGTGGATAAAACCTAGATACATATTAAGTGAAAGAAGCCAATCTGAAAAAGGCACATACTGTATGATTCCAGCTATGACATTCCAGAAAAGGCAAAATGATGGAGGCAATAAAAAGATCACTGCTGGCCGGGGTTTAGGGGAGGGTGACACGAACATGGGGAGCACAGAGAATATTCAGGGCTGTGACACTACTGTGTATCACACATCATCATAAATGTTCTGCACGCTCAGAATGGACAGTCTGCAGTGAACCCCAAGGAGAACTATGAACTCTCGGTGACAATTATGTGTCAATGTAGCTTCATCTATGTAACAAATGTACCTCTGGGGGTAGAAGGTATGTGGACAAGGGAGAGGCTGTGCACGTGGGAAGAGCATGTAGGAATCCTCAGTAACTTCTACTCCATTTTGCTGTGATCTAAAAGCGTTCTTAACATGAAAGTCATCCTCAGGCTCCTGCTTCTCATAAATATCTGATCTCAGGTCCAGATGTCTTTCTAGTAGTTTGACATGCTATTAGGAGAACATAAATGTCTGCATCCGCAGTTAAAAGAAACCGTATTGCTGCACAACTAGGATGACCATCAAAGATACATAAACTATCAAGTGATGGCAAAAATGCAAAGAAATTGGACCCTTATGTTCTCTTGAATGAAATACCAACTGATGCAAACAATATGAAAAACAACATGAAGGTTTCTCAAAAAATTAAAAATAGAATTGTGCTATAATGCAGCCTTCCCACATCTGCGTACATTTGTAAGAGACTTCAAAGGAGGTTCCGCAAGAGCCATGTGCACACCCATGCACACTGTAGCATTATCCACAAAACCTGTAATGAGTAGCAGCAGCCCAAATGGCCATCGATAGATCAACGGGTGAAGAAATGTAGCATATACATACAACGGAGTATTATTCTGCCTTAAAATAGAAACATCTCCTCTCACCTGACACAACACAGAAAAACCCTGAGGACTTTTAGGTAAAGTTTAAGAGTCACAAAACAGATGCTATATGAGTCCACTTCTGTGAGTCACCTAATGCAGTTCTCCTCATAGAACAAAAAGAAGGGTAGTAGCCATGGGCTTGGGGTGAAGGGAGATGATGAAGTGGTTGTTTAATGGGTACTCAGTCAGTTTTGCAACGTGGAAATTTCCAGAGATCAGTTACACAACAATGTGAATATTCTTAACACGACTGGACTGTACAGGTACAGAGGGCAGAATTTTAGTCACGTTTTACGAAAATTGAAAATGAAAAATTATATCTAAAAAACGTAGTTATATAACATTTCAAAAGTTATTTTGAATTCAAAAAGTGGTTTGTTGAGTCAGTTCGACAGCCAGGGCACCTGAGTCATCAGGCCAGGAACCCACCGAACCGTCCCTGAGCAGGATTGATCAACGCGAGGAAATGAGAAAAGAAAGAGATGGCACAGACACCAAAGTTGGGATTAGGAGGTTCACTAACTGCGGATGGCAGGAAGTGACAGCATTTATTAAAAGGCGCACTGCTTATATAGAGAGCAAGTTCCTCTTTTACCAGGAATAGTTTCTTAGCTAAGCATAGGGGATTTGGTAGGGGGTTTTGGGGGAATGAGGAACCAATATCCCTGATGCATGGGTTTGGAAGTGAGATAATCTCTTGGCAACAAGTTACATGATTACATAGCATAGACTAATGATATATTTTAAGTAAGGTAAAACTGAGGCAAATAGCAATTGTCAGCAAGTGCATGGTGGAAAATCCCAAAAATTCGTAAGTCCATAATTAGACAGTGACATCTGAGGTCTGGTGGTTTCAGTTCAGGAACTTCTGCTTTTTCGTGGCACAGGAGATGAACTGGGCATTGCTGGGTTACTGGCTTTTTACGGCAGTTCCCCTTTTGCTGTTCACCCAACATGCAGTTTTGCAGCCTTCTCTCAGCACACAGAACATGGGGGTCTGTAGCCACCTGCCATTCTCCACCTGCAGTCAGCCTAGAGTCTCACTACTCTGAGACGGCTCCCAACATCTCCTTCTTTTTTATTTTAAAGAACCTTAAATTTGGTAGAATAGTCCAAAGAGATTATTATCTACAGGTGATGGAGACTGCCTTCCTCTGTGGGGCGCGCCACTGACATCTACCAAGGATGTAACCAGAGAGGGTGCCGTTGCATCAACCTCTCCTTCACTTCGGATGCGTCTCTTAGCCCCCCGCAGTTGATATGTATCTGTAAATACTAGGGAGAGTCTTTAGTTGACTGGCAATGGACAACGGCTAACATGGCCAGAAACATATAGTGAGAGAGGTCTGTGGCTGGTTTGGGCACATCTCCATAACCTTCATTGCTAGCGTTTTTATCTGACCCCAGGTGGGGGGATCAGCCTCTTGTCTGCCTGGCACGATGGATTTTTTGTTTGGTCAGTCGCAGGCGTTTAAACTGATAGGTGGTCTCCTTGATACCGTCTGTCAGGTCCTCTTGGCTCTCATGTCGGACTGCTGTTTTTGCAAACACAAACAAAACCTCTACCCACGTAGGGTTATGAGGGATAGCTTAAAAGGCATTATGGAACAAGATATAGAGGTGAAATATTAGCTTGAAGGTGAGTAACAGAGTGATAACTAGAGATGGGATGGTCCATGGTGCGTGAGAACTGACACTGAGCACAAGACCACCGGAAACACAGTTCTAATCCTACTTCCAGTACCTCTGTGCTCAACCCCAGCACACCCCCTTTATCAATGTTGAGAAATAAGCTGAAGGAAAGTAACCATGTTAGGCCTGGGGGGTAGGGTGTAGTTAGCATAAAAGAAGAGACTTAATGGCAGGGATTACCAGGCTGCTAAGCGTGTGGGTTGTCGTGGAAGACGTGGCAGTGGAGGAGGGCCTACCTCCTCCCGATCATTTCCCTGACGCGGGGCACGGAAGTGAACAGTCTCCCTGTCACTTCCCTGTATAGTCATGTAATGGGCTTCCATTTCCTGGGCTCTAAAGTGAGCTTTTATTAAGGACAATATTGGAAGCAAGAAAACCATGATCCCTATGAAGGTCCATGCAATAATCTGGACAATGATGACTGATGCAAAATTTTTAGTGGTGATAATTTTTATATCTGGTGGATTAACAGACTCTAGCTCATTGTCCTGCATAGCAATAATTGTTTTTTGAAGGTGGTCAAGATCAAGGCCAAAGTCAGTGTTGTTCCAAATACCTTGAAGGTGATGGCTTATATTTCTTGAATTCCAGTGTGTATTACTGAACTGATAATGGGTCACACGCACCTTTTGATACTTAGCATGACATCGGAGGGCAAGCTGGAGGCGCATGGCCTCAACCTTGTTGTCTATGTCTACAACAGTTGTTTTTATAGCATTTTTAATTCAAGTTTTACATCTATGTCTTTTAAACTTGACAAAACAACAGTAGTATTATGAGCAAGCTGTTCGACATAATCTGCTGTCTGAATAGAATTGGATAGGGAAGCAGCGGCTGTGACTGCAGTAGCTAGGAGGGAAACAAATGTCGCAATGCCTGTTATAATGATTTTTGTAGACCATTGTTCCTGACTCAGGTCCTTGTTTATGTTGAGGGCTTGTAATTTTGGGTCATCATACCAAGATCCCTTAATAGTCGTGGGAATTGCAATATATGTAGGTTGGCGAAAGACTCGAGTACCTCGCCCTACGTCTTGTGGATCAACACAGTTGGTGAGATAGCAATTTTGACAAGAAATATTATAGAGACTGAACTAGCCTGATTTGAAAGTCCCCAACCAACAAGACCTCTGGGGCCTGCACACAGGCTGTGATGGCATATGGTTGTGTATTGTTTTGGTTATAGGGGAGATCAAAACTAGAATGATTTACATAATCTGAAGCTGCCCACAACCTCCAAATTTCCTTCTGTAAGGTATGAGAACCTGTGATAAGCACAGGAGCAGTAAATACTCCTGGGAATGGAACCCTTTTATCTTTTTCTGAATATCTGACAGACCAATCATAGATGTAAAACGGAGTATTATATAATTGATGTCTTGTTGCTATAGCCTGCCGACAATCATTCCATTGTATGTTTTTGTTGGTATCTATGGTAGTGTCATAGCAAGATGGAAGTGGCGGGGGTTTACTGTAGTTACTGACTCGACCCCAATGTGGTCCCACAAAGGATAGGACATTGTGGTACTTGAAGTACGCCATTACTCCAGCAGTAGTGGCATTAAACCTACCATCTGTTTTTACTACCTTGCCTAATTTGAGGCATCCTTGTACTGGCATATGGGAGGCCCAAAGTGGAGGTTTATGGGTCAAACCAGTATAATTAAAAGCAACCCGTTGAGGCTGTACATTTTTTACTTCTCCTTCTAAAGGGTATGAGGTATTGACCCAAACCTTAAATATAATCTCATCCCAGGTTGCAGGAATGACTGTTGGTAGATTAGGATAGTATGTCCAATAGGTGTCCCCTCGGGTTATACTTACTTGCCAAGACAAAATGATCAGTAAAGCTATCAGAATCCTGCTGGGTTCTAGCCGAGCCCAAGTTTGGGTCGGGCTTGTTGTCGCCCCCTTCTTCTGCATTACTGTCCATGGGTCCTTTGACTCTGCCCCATGATGTTGTTTGACTAGATGTTCCAAAACCCTCCAACAGCATTCCTAGGAAAAAGCACAAGGTACACCCTCCTCCCTATACAAGGATCTAGATGCCATTTGTGATGTAAAATTTGAGGGTATGGGAAAGTACTGAGAAGTAAAATTGTAAACTTTAAAGTTATGAAAATTGTAAAATTTAAAGTTAGAGAGGTACTTAATTAGAGAGGTACTTAATGTCCAAATACCCAGTTCCCTGTAATCTCCCCCTTTTGGTTTTCATTTTGTGTTTTTTATTGATTTAGAGAAATGTGGATGTTAGAAAAAGAGCTATAATTGAAATTTAATGGCTAGGAAGTACTTGTGGAGTATTTGATTTTTTATTGGCCTGTATCCCTCTGCCCGAAACAACCGCAGCAGAGCTATATCCCCTCTGCTACGGTGGCCTCAGGGAGAAGGACGCAAGCCTTAAACTGATTTTGGAGGATGGAGAGTATGGGTTTGGACTAAGAGGGGTGTTTTTCAGTGTGTGTTTTGAATATGAAATGTTAGGTTAGTTTATGGGAGAATTGAATATTTGAAAAAAACTGGGAGCTGGTCTTATGAAGGCTTAAAAAAGGTTGGGTTACCCCCACGGGGCCCCCGGGGGCTAGGAATTCCTTGCTAAACTGGTAGGTGTAAGTTTTTGACTTTTGTGGCTTTGCCCGTCTTGTAATAATAATGTAAGCTACGGGCTAGGGATTTGAAGGTCATACCATACAAGTTGTCTTTGTGGATGCCCCAATGTAGTGCCACAGCCTCCTTGTTTTTAGACGAAAATTGAAAACATGCCCTTGTCCTTGTCTACCCACCAAATGGAGTCCAACATCTCCTTGTTCTGGAGTAGGTCAAGTTAGAAATGATGCAGTCAGAGTGGATGCATTGGGTACTTCTTTTGGGAGCATGTATTATCCTATAGGAGGCTGGGCTTTGGCTGTGAACTATCCACCTCCCTATGAGATACCTCTGGCAGGGGGGTGTTGTCCCCCATCCTTTTCCTTATCCAGGCCAGACTGGGCGATGCACATGGTGTGGGTGGAAATCTCAGTAGTGAATACTGGGGTTGTCTCCATTACTGCGGAGAGAGGGATAAAGTTTATGTATTTTTGGTGAAAGGAGGCCTTGTTGTGTACCCCAGTGGTCCTGTGGGTGTTAAAAGGCATCTATAAAGTATAGGAGGGCAAAGGTACACTACTCTTATAATAAGTTTTGTTAGTGTAATTAGTTGATATATTATTTTATATTAGTTATACGAGTTTTGGGTGTACTAGTGATGTAAGATTTTTATGTTATATGATTGTAATTTGTAATATAAACTCTTACACGATTATTTAAAATGGTATTGTTATTTATGATTATAAGTAAATTTTTGTGAGTAGCCTGGGGAAAGCCAGACTACCTTAACAATTAAAAGTATATGTATATAGCTGATTATATTTCTTTTTAATAAGTAACTAGCTGCAGGTAATAAAGTTAATGACCCTTAAGTTTGACTACTGTGGTGTAAACATTACCTAATATTAATTGAAGTTGACCTGATGATAAAAATGTCTAAAACTAAGTATATTTCACCTTGTTATACTTAATCCTATATCTATATTTACCTAATATTAATTTTACCTAAACTTAATACTTGACCTTATACTTAAAAATATCTAAAATTATATTTTACCTGATATTGAAATTTGTTTAAAATTTTTGATGGGTGGTTTTGAAAAGATCTCACCTTATTAGTATTTCCTAGAAATTGTGGATATATGATTATAGAATGGTTAGATCTGCATTGTATTGTTGCAATTTGAAGAGAAGTTTTAAAACAGCCTGTTCTGATTTATGTTTTAGTTTTCAAACTGAAAGAAAAAAGGGATTGTTTTTATGAGGTGGGCTGAACCTCTAAAAGGCTGGGACTATAAATTTTTGCTGACATCTGGCTTAAGATGTCCCGTCCCCAAATGTTTACCCGTATTTCATTTAGGACAAAGGGAGAAAATTGTCCAGGGTGTCTCCCTGGAGCTTCCCATGTGAGCGCACTACAGCTTACAAGGATTTCACCTGGTGTTCCTATACCGAAGATGTGGGTGGTAGTGTCCCGCACCAGCCAAGAGGATGGCCAGAACTGTTGAGAAAATATAGACATTTCAGCTCCCGTATCAATGAGCCCTTGGAATGGCATTCTGTCTACTATTAATTCTAATACCAGGAGTTCTGGTCCAATCTCTCTGATCCATCCAAGGATTAGATTGGAGTCCAATCGCTGGGGAAAGTTATCTGGGGAAGAGACTGAGCCCCCATTGTTTGGCGGGAATGGGGCTGGCCCCGTTTTCCAGCTTCCCGGAATAGGTTGTTTATTGATATCATATTGAGATCGACATTCATTGGCCCAATGCTTTCCTCGCTGACATTTGGGGCAAATCCCAGGCAGCCTGGGGGGGCTGGCTGCCTTAGGCTTTCCCGGGAATGATCTGATTGCACACTCCCTAGCGGAATTGGCCAAGCAGACCACAATGGTGGCAGTGTTTTTCCTTTTGGTTTCTCTTTCTCTCCTGTATCACCCTTTTTCGGAGGCGAAAAATATTGCATAACCCTTCCTCTGGATGACTAATTGGAAAGGAGCAATTGTTGTCTGATTGCTAAGGTACCCTACTGAGGTGGCTATGTGACGTTGGGTTGCGAAATTGGCTTTCCAGAGTAAAAATTCCCTTCCATTTTGGGCTGTGGTTGTCAACATGAGAAGATCATAGGGTGTAAGCAGCATGTTGGAGATAGTCTCAAGCAACGCCAATGTTCTCGGAGCAGTCAGTCCACACTGAGAAATTGTTGCCTCTAATTTTCCAAGCATTGTAAAACAGAGGGTGGTAAACTTCTTAATTTTCTCCAAGGAGGAAGGTTCTTGTGGGGATTGGAAACTATGCCCAGTGGCGAGGTCTGGCACCACGTCTACCGGAGCCAACCCTCCCTCACTGTCCTCATCAGAAGAATCCTCTCGAATAGGACTCTGAGCTAGCCTGCTCTCTCTACCCTTTGTATCCTCACCATCCTTAACGGAGGAGCCTTCTGTATTCCTGCCTTCCTTTAAAACCTGTCGGAGCTCCTGGGTGAAGCTGGACTCCGGGAATATGCCCCTTGAGCCCCAGGCATCCATCGACTGCCGAGGAGGCAGGGGAGACGGCTCCCAACGGTGGTTCTCTCACAAAGAGAAGATCAAATCGTCAGTAAACAGATGTTAAATTAAGACTATTACCACAACTACTTAACTGCACAGGATAAGAAAAGCACTAACCACTAACAAAAGACATAAACATGAGTCATGCACAAAGCTGCAGCAAAATGACACAAAGATGCACATAATGTTAATGGCAATAGATATATGCCTGATTCGTATGTGAATGAAATCCCACATTCTTTTAAGTGTACTGAGCTGAAAACTATCATTCACATTCATATATATAAGTAACACCCAAAACTGCAAGTAGATAGTTTGAGGAAACTTCCATAAAAAAGAAAACACATTATGACAGAACTGCAACATGAGAATAAGAGACAATGGATCCCAGAACTGTGAACACTACACAGATGTACTATTGAGGGGAATCCTTCCGTAAAACTGCACAGTTTCCACCATCAGTGTGGCCCCATAAAGAGCAAGCATTCTCAATCATTGGAATACGTGTTGTAGGGCAGGAAAATTTCCCAGACAATGCATGAGTCATTCATAAATATCTCTAAGGAAAATTTTAATAAATAACAATTGAAAACACACTGAAGAAATTTTCTGTGATTAGTATATTTTGCTATTCTAACATGAAATAATGGGCTGCAATCCATCATCCAGAGGGAGAAAAAAAACCATTCACTGCTAAACAAAAGTACAAGGAATTTATAAATCAGAGAATCAAGTATCTGTAAAATCTACATTTCAGATTAAGGTACACCATGATTGAAAGACATGCTGATAAAGGCAGATGACAAACCTTGTGATTACTTTTTGCCTGAAGTAGTGATATTGAGGAAGCAAACATTTTCCAAAATATGGGAACCTAATTCTACAAGTCCCTTCTTACCAATGGATTTCATTCGAGCACGTCTGAATCTCAAACCACTAATCTGACAAAGATCTATTCCAAAATGGAAAACATAGAAGGCCCAAGCCCAGGCAGCTTTGGACTGAACAAGATGGAATTATAACACAATAGGCATTAAGAAATCAGGGAACAAAGGAGACCTTTCTATATGGTGGACCTAGGAGAGAGTCCAGATTGGAACACGAAAGACACTGACAGTAATATTCTCCAGTGTTATTTTCGAACTGTGAGGATTATGTATGATCCATAAACCATTGTAGAAAAAAATCTTTTTTTTCTAAACGATAGATATAAATTCAGTCGTCAACACAGGCATACGGCTTTCTGAGTGTTATATTTGTATCATACAGGATATATTTTGTACATTTCATGGGGAGTTAGAAATGCAAACTGCTTCTCAAATTTTCACATGGACAACAAGGAAATGGATTGCTGTAAAAATGCAGATTCTGAATGAGGGGTTCTGGGGTGGGGCCTGGGTTTCCACATTTAACAAATTCACTTTTAACTAGTGACACCAGTGTCTCTGCTCCGTGTGTCACTCTGTTGAATAGCACAGAGGATGGAAACAAAGGAAAACTCACACATGACTCTGAACTGCCAGCTTTATGGAATTTCTACTTGTCACAGAAGCATAGGAATACAATCCTTTTTGCAAATGTACTGTATAATACAGAACATTCTGTTTTTTATGTTAATTCATAAAGAACATAAGTAATCTAAGAAAAATCTGACTCTCTTGAATGAGAATATTTTGTGAAGCATCCAATGAATGGCAGAGCTTGGGTTTTACTTCAAGCTCTCTGGTGAAGTTATCGAAAAGGTGCAGACCAATACGCAGATGACCCTCATGAACATTCATAGCAGTTTCCATAACTCAGAAGAATAGAACCAACTAATGCAAGAAGAATAATTCAAATATTGTTTTATACGCATAGGCAGACACATATATGGGAATTATGTGCACATTACAAGTGACAGAGAAGGAAATTTTCACATCACTGAAATCACAATTATTTTCAAATGTATAAATCTCATAAACGTGTTTGTGGATGATACTCTGTTATTTTAGAAACACAATAGGGAGAGGAAGACAGTAACATAAAATAAGTTAGAGAGACGCTATTTGTTTGATAAAAAAATATATATCATTTGTGTCATGGTGTGAAATTAACCCCTGTTCATTCACAGAAGGTGAATGCATTCACACAAGACTCTACAAAGCAGAACTTCAAGGACAGGTTTTATTAAAGCTAGGAAGAGAGAAATACTGACCAACTCCTTTGCCAGGGCAGTGCCTCATAGATGGCGGAACTTAAAACTTTAGGAGAGCTTTTTCTTACATAGGAAAAGGGGAGCCAGCCAGGCAGGTTTGAAGGGTGACATCCTCATTCTTCCTGGAGTCTGGTCTGTTTGAAGATGATGTATCTCCGGTAACTGGACTCTGGACTTGGCCATAGAGGCCAGGGACTTTCATGTGTAACCAGTAAAAATGGCAAGAAGTTATAAATTGAATTCCAATATCCGGTCGCCTGAGGATTAAGAATTTGCCTTTTACAGGTTAGGATGTTGCTAATTAATGAGGTATGAGTAGCCTTGAGAAAGGGACCAAACAGAGTTCTCCAGTTAATCAGTGAGGGGAGAAACAAAGAGAAAAAAAGACGAATATCAGGATAGATCAAACTGCAAACAAACTAAGTCTAATTACACGTGGCTAGATAGCAAGCTATACAGTGAGTCAAACTGTAAACTAGCTTAAGTCTAACGGTTGCTGATTCCCTGAATTTCACCCTTACAATTTGTGCTGTCCTATACGTTACAAATTTGCCACTTCAACACAGTAGTAATTCGATTCTTGTAAAATTTCCTGAAAACACAAAAAGTGATAAAGTAGAGAATGTCTGTGACATGAGTGGGAATATAATGAAAATTTACAGGAACGAGCCCTGACTCATTAAAACTTCCACTTCAAAAGCCAATTGTCTCTAGTAAAGAAAGCTCAGGGGCTTCAGTTTCCAAAGAAGAGAAACTAAGAAAAAAGAGAGTTTCCAGATGAAATGTGATGGTTTTTGCACATTTTTCTATAAAGCACTCAAGACCCTTAATAATGATAAAGAAATAATGTTAACTTTATAGTGAAGACAAGACCTCAACCAAGTGAAAATGAGGTGGAAGGAACAAATGGGCATCAGCTGGCCGAGGCACACGGAAGACACAGCATCACTGCTGTCATGTTACTGGCAAAAATGAACAAATAAGGAAATCATAATCTAAATCTGATCATAAAAACATTACTTTTATGCAAATTTCCATGCACATATAGCTCCCGTATTCCGCAACTCTATAACAGTGCATTTAAAAAGTAAGTCAGTCTTACCAAACTAGTGACAAGTCTCTTCCAATTACTTTTTTTTTTTCCAGAACTTTCCGGGCTATTCTGAGCACTGAGGCCACCTGGGTTGTTGTGCATGATCTTACCCCTGTTCAATAGCCCTGATGCTGCAGTCCAAAGACACGCACCTACACCTCCCTTCTTCAGGACTGGGCATCTGACACCGCCCTGACCCCCGCCCAATACGGAACAGCAGACATAGGCTGTGACCCAGGACGGAACGCTTACCTGAGAAGCAGCCATTTCGTCCTCGTCCTCCTCCAGCTCTGGGTTGTTTCCTCAGGAGACTTTCTGGGGAGGAATCACATCTACATCTTGAGAATGTGCCTTCAAGGTCATGGGCACAGGCCCATTTATCAGCTTCCCTACATTCAGAGGCAGAAAGACTTTGAAACACTGAAAATGCTGCCCTCTGCTGTCCTATGTCCCAGGACACAGTCAGGGACAGGGAGCTCCTAAGTGAGGACAGAAGTGTGAGTTTTTTCTTTCCTGTCTTCACCTGCCCCCCAGTCACTTCCCCTGCCGCCTCCCACACAACACACAGGTGTCCACAAATTCTTACAGCAATGAGGAGAGTGTGCACACCTGCCCCCAAAGACCCAACAAAGTACCCCGCTACCTCACCTTGACCAAAGACAGCTCTCAAGTGTCAGAACTGTGTCCAGGAGCCCCCAGCTAATCTCTGGCCTCACCTGCGAGTCACCTGGGACACCTCACTTAAACAACGATGCTCTACCCAGCCCACTTCTCCATCTCCCAGGGGGAGGGAACAGGTGACATCACTCCTGGAAATTCACATGCAATCTAGGAGGACCTGGATGGGAACTTTTAGCTTCAATAAGCATGCAGGTCCCTTGGGGATCAGGGCCCACTCTAAGGAGTTATGGTTCTGCAGGTCTGCAGGGGGCCCAGGAAATGGCATCTTTAAGTCTCCTGGGGGTGATGACCTGCTCCCCAGACCTGTTTCCTGTCACACTGGGCTACAGATCTCACTCCATCTCAGACTCTGCACTCCTGAGCTCTGGGGAGTGTGGGGGTTTGGCATGGGAACTTCTAGAAGGGTTGGCTCCCCGCGTGTATTTCCTTCCTGTTTTCCAGCAAATCACAGAGAATTAGTTAAAAACCATAAAATAATAAACACACACTTTGGTGCTAAAAACTTGTTACAAGGGTTAGCTATGGAAATACATAGATCACTTCACGGTGGGCTCAGTGGGAACCAAGTTTCAGGCCTGTCCATCTTTCCACATTTTCAGAGAATTATCAAGAGAGACTTGAGAAGACAGCTACTTGGTAGCTCCCAGCTCACTAATTTCACTAATTTCATAAACGGAAGACAAAAGCTGCTGAATATCAGAATAACTCACCACACTAGGTTATCAAGCGGACATCCTCACGAAATGCACACTTAAGAGGCCTAATATTATTAAGTACCAATGGAGTTTTTGACACGATAAAGAGTAGAAAGAATGCAGGGCTTCTCTCTAAATTAGACATAATATTATCAGAAGGGAAATCCATTCCACATGTTTTTTACTGTAATGACTTCTAGGGTCAAAATTTAAAGAACACTGAGACTACCTCATCTTTAGAAAAGTATAAAGGCTGCTAATGAGATGTTACCCAGGCTAATTCTAGCAGTTAGTGATTATTTAGAACAAGGCAGCAATTCAGGAGAGTAACATTTAATTTAATGTGCTTAAAAAAAAAAGCATCAAATGTAAGAGAACTAAAAAGAAACAAGTAAACTCCATGTAAAGAAAAAAAGAGACGATGCTTAATATTCCTTGAAAAGGCATCATGCGGTGACAGACTCAGTCATTTCTTTTCCCAGGTCACATCCCTCATGGCATCCCAGGAAATAAGGAGGGACTCATGACTGACACAGGTCTCTCCTCTCTGGGTGCATGAGCATTGCACAAATAATCAATTGGGTGATAAAATTACTGAACGCACAAGCCTTAGAAATTAGTTTTGTAATTCTCATTCTATGTGACTGAAAATGCAGCACGTGTAAAACTAAATCGATGATAAAGCCACAATCAATATATCATGACTTAATCACCCACATCCCACCAGCTCACAGAGCATCCACGTGGGGGCACCCCTTCTTCCTCTGCTACTAGATACTCCTGTCTATGGTCTGTGTGTCCCTCTCCAACCAGATTTTCTCCACTGCTGTCCTCTCCTGTCCCCCATTCCCTTCACAGATTTCTCCGCTTCTCTCTGTTGCCTTCATTGAACCTCTTCCACGAAACTCTTGAAACCTATTTCACCTTCAGTTGCTTTTTCTCCCTGATCTGTCTGATTGCGCCCCATCTCCACATATTTCTGCCTCTTTCTCCCGTCCCTGTGCACCTCCTCTTCCCCGGTGACACTGTCTTTCCTCTTACACCCCTGTGCCCCGACTCACTGACACCCCCAGCTTAGCTCAGTGCAGCTTCTTCCTCTGCTGTCACCTCTCATACCTCCTTTCTGTTCCTGCACTCGGCTCCCCCAGCTCTTCTCCTAACCCCTCTCTCCGTCTGAAATTCCCTGTCCTTTGTTGCCCCCCAATTCTGCTAACCAGGGGCCCTTCTCCCTTTTAGCTCCCCTTCTTCTCTCTCGAACACTCCCTTCCCTCTCTCTATATTTCTCCATTTGCTTTCTCCTCTGGCTACTTGCCCGAGTTCTTCGCTTGCTCTTAACCGTCGCTTTACACGTCCCTCCCACATCCTCTGTTTTCCCGCCTCTTTACTTCCTACCCTCTCACCTGTCTATTCCTCTCATTCTGTCTCCTTCTCGGGACCCCCCCTCACCCCAGTTATGCCTATTTCCTGGCCTGCCCTTCACAGTCACCGCTTACACAAAGCCCCTCCCCGCGTGAGGGGTGACCTGGTGACACCCCGCGTTGTTCCCTCCGAAATCCCAACCCCCTGAAAAGTGTGCTCTTCCTGGCATTCGGGCCTCTTATTAAACCGGGACGAGGGGGGTCTCCAGGCGGCGGGGAGGGTCTGCAGAGCACCAGGCAGGGAGGAGGCCGGGCTCCCGGGGCCGCGGGGCGAGGCTGGGGGAGGGGCGCCAACGGCTGGAATAGTCTCCCGAGTCTGTCTCCCAGGACTTGACACCGCGCGGCGGAGCGCTGCCCGGTGGGGGGTTTTAATTAGGAAAACAACGCGGCAGGCGGGGTCTAGTGGCCCGAAGGCGGACAGACCACAGGGGAACGGCCTCAGTTTCTCCGGAAACCCCCGCGGACCCTCCACCCGGCATCGAAGCGGCCTGGGATCGGGACGTCTCCCCAGGACGCCGGACTCACCGCTGTAGGGGGCGCGGGTGCGGGGACTTCAACGTCGGTACTGACCCCCAGGCGTCAGGAGTGCAGGACGGTGGACTGAGACGCTCAGGTTTAAACCACAAACACTGAAAGTCACTAGGTTAACTAGACCTTCCCCCTGCCGTGGCCATTTCCGGTCCGCAAAAAACTCCAAGACAACGCTGGCAAACCTTGGGCCGCTAGGAATCCTGGGCTGAGCGCGAAAACAATGTAGGGGCGGGATTCCTGACCGGAAGTGGGTGGGGGCCTCTGGAGGGATGGTCTGACCCAGGGGAAGGGGTGGGTCCAGCCTTGGGGTGGGGAGGGACTTTTTTGCCCCTCACTTTCATTGGTTATAGGCTGCTTTTTATTAGCTTTGTATTTTAGATAAGATCTTTCCTATCCATTTTATATGACGAAATTTTATTGGGAAACTGTTTTTCCAGAACCCATCAGCTCCAAGTAAAGTATTTGTCTTCAAGTACTTATGGAGGGCGCAGCTCAGTGGCCCATGTGGGAATCGAACCCCCAACCTTAGTGTTTTGAGCACTGCGTTCTAACCACCTGAGCTAACTGGCTGCCCACCACTTTATAGTTTTAAGGTTTCTCTTAGATGTATATTTACTGATGCTTAGTAATGCTTTACTCTTGGCTTCATATGCAGCCCAATCATTCTATTTTGAGATCTCCCCAGTATGAATTTTGGATAATTAGTGAAGATTTATTGTCCATAAAGACTTTTTAAATTCATTATGTTTGTAAAATTCTTTTTCTAACATATATACGTGTGAGGTTTGGTTATCAGTGAAGAATGGATCAAAACTTTCCCATCTTTATTCTAAATGTTGAGTTTGACACTAGCAAGGATTTCTTCCAGTTCTGAAAAATGGAACCTTTTGGATAGATTTCTAATTTGATTATACTTATAATATGCACCCTCAGTTATAATATTTATGGCTTACCCTGATGTAACTAAAACTTTGATACATTCCTTTTAACAAACTATTCCATGCATTTGTCTCCTGAACATTGTTTTAAAGGAACTGAATTTTGGTAAAAGATTTGGGAATCTTTCAAAAGTAGATTATGGAGATGATACAGTATTATGGAATATTGTGCCAACCAGCCAAAGTAGCATGAAAAAGATTTCAACATGGATTCCCATTCTCTCAAGCAAATAAATGCATGCCTGGTGGAACTTTTCATCAAGTTCAGAATAGTTGAGGCAAAGCCAATAATAGGCAAAAGTAAAAAATTCACGTTGATCTTGGGAAGTTTTGTTGCTTGCAAAATTTGTTGGGAGGGAAATGAACATATTCAAAAAGATAGAAAGAATTTCCTCAATCAATGCAAAAATTTCTCATACATCTCCCTGTATTATTATATAACATGCAAATTATGATTGTTAAACATGTCAAAATTATTGATGACCTCAAAAATTTGAAACACACGACTAGTTTGACCTTGTGAACTGAACTCAAAGTCATGAAAACAGAGACTATACATTAAAAAAAATTTTTTTTGTTATTTTTTTTTAGATTTTATAGGAGAATTGGGGGAGGAAACAGCGTTGGGAAATCAGTGATAGGGAACAGACAAGTTGCTGTCCTTTAGTTCTTCAGTCTAGTTGTGGAGGACATTGCTTCACTGGCCCATGTTGGTATTGTGATAATTGCGATCTTCCCAGCTGAGGCAGATTGGTCGCTGGCCATTGGAAGGCCACTCATGGTGGCTCACGGCAGCTCACACCGGTTGCCAGCCACTCACGCTGGCTGCCGGCCACTCACTATAGCTAAGGCAGTCCACTGCAACCCCACTGCACCCTACATCGCCGCCAGTGACTCACAGCAGCCCAGCTCCAGATTGAGCTATTGTTCAGATCTTAGCTGTAGAGGGTGCAGCGTCACTGGCCCTTATGTGGGTTCCGAACCAGCAGCCTTGCTGCTCAGAGCTCGCACTCCCAAGTCAACTCTTAACCAACGAGCCACTCAGCCGGCCCTGAGACTATATCTTTTGTTTTCGTTTTTTTAACTGGGGAATTGGGGGATGGGAACAGACAAGTTGCTGTCCTTTTGTTTTTCATTCTAGTTGTGGAGGCTGTCGCTTCACTGGCCCAAGTTGGCACCATCATTGCGCTCTTCCCTGGTGAGGCGGATCAGTCGCCGGCTTCTCCATGGCTGCTCATGGCGCCTGCTGGCCACTCACGCTGGCTGCTGGCTACACATGGTAGCCCATGGCAACCCACTGCAGCAGGGGCTGCAGCCTATGCCGTCGCCGGCGACTCAGGGCAGCCCAGCTCCAGGTTGAGCTGTTGTTCAGCATCTTAGCTGTGGAGAGGGCAGTGTCACTGGCCCTCATATGTGGGATCCGAACCGGGGCCCTCTGGCATCCCAAGCCAGTTCTTAACCAACACGCCACTCGGCCGGCCCAGAGACTATACGTTTTTAAGCACACATGAAACACGTAATATTTATGACTACAAATTTTTAAAAATCTGACTTAGGTAAGAAGAGACTTTACAGGAAACATTATTACCCTAGACTGAATGCTCTGAGTACAAGATCTACACTCACAGGTCAGACAGAACAGGGCTTTTCTATTATTGGGAGGGATCAACAAGGCCATAAGAAAACAGATAACAAAATATAAACGAACCCAAAGATATGGGAAACAAACCAGTGGTCGCCGAATGTGATGGGGTAGAGATAGGCATAAGAAAATAAATCAAGAAAAAATGTGTTATGAAAAAAGGAGAAATGAAAACTTAAAATGGAATAACATAATTGTTAGGGGAGGTAGTGTGGGTAAAGAATTCTAGGTCCTGGGGTGACCAAGTGGCTCATTGCTTAAGAGTGGCTTTGGGGTGCGATCTCTGAGCAGCAGGGCTGCCGGTTTGGTTCCACATGGGCCAGTGATGCTGCACCCTCTACAGTTAAGATGGTGAACAACAGATCGACCTGGGGCTGGGTTGCCAAGAATTGCCAGCAACAAAGTAGGCTGCAGTGACTGCAGTGGGCTGCTGTGAGCTACCATGAGTGGCCATCCAATAGCAGGCAACCGATCTGCCTCAGCCGGGAAAAGCGCAATGATCACAATACCGACATGAGCCAGTGAAGCAACGTCCTCCACAACTAGACTGAAAAACAAAAGGACAACAACTTGTCTATTCTCCTTCCCCAATTCCCAAACGCTGTTCCCTTCCCAATTCCCCCCCCCCAAAAAAAAACAATTCTAGGTCCTCATCATGGTTTGAAGCTAAACTTACTGAACCATAAACACTTTCAGGAAAATATATGTCTTGGTGTAGAATTGACCCATGGCCGTTCACAGAATGTAAAAAGAATTTACAAGACTCTACAAGAGTAAGCAAAGATTTCTTGAAAGTCAAGCAGAGAGTTAGTCCTGGCAAAGGAAAGTTTTGCCAGGACATAACCCAATAGGGACAATAGTTGCCAAAACAGAGGGGTAAGGGAGAAATACTGGCAAGTGGAGTTGTGTCAGGGCAGAGTCTGATAGGGATAGCTGCACTGTTGAGAAGTAGTGCTGGGGTTTTATATTTTTCCATGCAGTATGTATAGTGCTTGCCAGCTTGCAGGAGGGCTGCCATTACAATTGTCTCCTCTTGGAACTGTCCTGTTTCCATCTATGATGGATGTCAGCTTGCGAGGGGTTGCTGTTGTGATTGGGGACTGTTCTGTTCTCACCTATGATGGATGTAAGGTACTGGTCAGCTTGCAGGCGCAGGGCTATCCAGGAGAATTACAGCCAAGGAGTTGATGTTTAAGCTGGTTCCTGTTAGCCCACAAGCCCACTCCTGTTAACTCTTCATTTGTCTCATCAATATATACTGAAGTGGTATATTAAACTTTTAAAGATAATAACAAAGAAAAAATGCAAACAACAACAGAAAAATTATGGGGAAAAAGGACACAAAAATCTTGGTAAAAAGATAAAGCTTATATGCACTATTCCAAATAAAGTACCTATATTAAGATAATTAGGGCCAGCTGAGTGGCATGTTAGTTAAGAGCTGGCTTGGGACGCGAGAGGCCCCCGGTTCGGATCCCACATATGCGGGCCAGTGACACTGCCCACTACAGCTAAGATGCTGAACAACAGCTCAACCTGGAGCTGGGCTGCCATGAGTCACCGGCGAAGGTGTAGGCTGCAGCCCCTACTGCAGTGGGTTGCCACGGGCTACCGAGTGTAGCCAGCAGCCGCAGTCATCGGCCGTCCAGAAGCCGGCAACTGATCTGCCTCACCCGGGAAGAGCGCAATGATGGTGCCAACTTGGGCCAGTGAAGCAACGTCCTCCACAACTAGACTGAAGGACAAAAGGACAGCAACTTGTCTGTTCCCCTTCCCCCACCCCTCCAAAAAAAGATAATTATACCTGACACTAATATAAAAAAAAAGGAGAATAGAAAAGAAATACTATGACCAGGGATAATAAACTCTATTTCACAATTAGGAAGGGATGAACTCATCACAAAGACATAACAACCATGAATCATGCACCAAGCAGCAGAACTTCCAAAGCCCTGAAAACCCTGACCAGGTATAATAAGAAAAAATGTAACCCACACTTATGTTCAGAGATTCCCATGCCTCTTCTATGAATAATACATAAAACAATGAGAAAGAAAATGAGTACATAGAAACTCTAACAAGGAAATTGTTAATAAATCAATAAAATTGACCTAATTGACAGTTGTAGAACTATTAGATTAAAATATATATATATATATATATATATATATATATATATATATATTCATCTCGACCTTTGGTTCCTGGCACAGAGCTTCTAAAACTCTTAAGATTTTCTAAGTAATGAGAGCACTAGGAGCATCTTTTGTTCTATTGAGGTGACTCTGGGTGGGCTCCTAGATGCGGACTGGTCACCAGAAAGACCACGCCATGATTAGAAGCATGAAATTTTCAGCCCCACCCCCACAGTCCAGAGAGGAAATGGGCTGGAAATGGAGTTACATACTGATCATGCCTCTGTGAGGAAGCTGCCATAAAATCCCAATATTTGAAGGTTCAGAGACTTCCAGGTGATTGAACACATCCACACCCGGAGGGTGCTGCACTCCACTTCCACAGCGAGAGAAGATCCTCTGCTCGGGACCCTCCCAGACCTGACCCTATGTATCTCTTCATCTGATTGTCCATCTGTATTATCA